ATATAATAAAAATAACAATATTTCTATACAAACATAATACATACATATATATATATTATTACGGTATGGCTGGTAGAAACGAGGCGATTATAATCAGAGTGTATCACTAACCAGAACGGGAGGGCTAATTGTCCGATTTTCTCAAAGTGGGATTTAAAATGTTAAATACTTGAGAATAATATTTTAATATTAAATATAAGTGTACCATACACTGCATATACAAATTCGACAGTTGGACTAGGTGTAGCATATAGCTCCACTTTTCCATGTTTTACGTATGCCGCACAAGTTCGGTGTGCAATCGTATTTATATTAGTACCGCACTACCAAACTAGTATCTCCTCTACTGAGAACCGCGTGGGTTCAATGTTAGATCAACACCGGCGCACGCAGGTTCAATATACCGGTACACACATTGACCATGACAAGACAAGACAGGTAATAGCTTTGACATTCATTGCAATGACACGTTCAATTTCTCGACAAATCGGGAAGTGAATGCTGTCACAAGATACAAATACTTGAGAAACGTTCACTTGAAAACACTGTGTATATATACAACGTCCAGCAAGAGAATTCAAAATGGTTCCGAAGGGCTGCGCACTGGTGCGATTGAACATACACTCGCCACTCGTGTCACCAATCTACCGGACTATCCAAGCGACTCGTATGTAGAGGTAGTAGTCAAGATATGAAACACAATCACTGGATGTATTTGGTTGTATGTGGTAAACAGCATCTTGCAAGTGTGCCCAGGTAGGCGCACATAGGAACTGACCGGAGTGTACAGTATAGTCTACGATGACAGACGAGGACGAGGGTGTACATGGACAGCGCATGCCATCGAGATACGACGATTATATACACCAAATAGAGTAGAACATAACCGTAAGAAAGATCCAATATTTATTATGTTACCTGCGTAAGGGTTAGCCAACGCGTCGCTGAGTATATGTTTCTCGACCGACAACCCGTCAATTACACCCCCATTCGTGTTCAGGTTCGGTACATACGCATTGTCGCGATAACTCTCGGAGACAAAATCAGGCACGGCTCAGGGAATACCTAAAGGGATCGCTATGTAGTGGTGCGTATATATACTCTGAGTGTGATACTACATTCGGGCGTATAAACGTTAGGCACGTAGTCATGCAAACAGGTATTTGAAAGTACAAGCGTATGGAAATGTAAATTAGCGGAAATGGGCATATCAATTCCGATATATTACAAGCCACAAACAACCAGGAAAATGCAATACCACGGGGAGTGAATTGATGTCCAGGACTAGTATATATATATATATATATATATATATATTACATATTATATATATATATATATATATATATATATATATATATATATATATATATATATATGT